TAAGATAATGTGTTTAAACCAATTAGAATACAACTTGGTCCATGTCCTAAGTCCTCAGTAATTGTAATCATATTACCTGGGTTTGATACCCATCATTCCAAGAACACTGCCCTTCTCATCAGGCCCCTCCGTTCTCACCCTCCTATACCTCTTCTCTCTACAGGAGTGGGGATGCTCCCTGACCGTGCTGCCCTGCTCTTAGTGCCCTCCTCTCCCTCTGACCATCTCCTCTTCTTTCTTGCTCCTGGCCTCTGGCATCCACCACAGGGCCACCCAGGGCACCAGATCTCTGGCCACCCCCCTCCTGGGGACCTGCAGACTGCTGTCCACCCCCCCCCACAGCTTTAGCTGCACCTGGTCCACAGCGGCCTCCTCTCAATGTGGCTAAAGCCATATTCACCTCTTTCCCCAACATCTCAATGGCAGCAGCTCAGTTTCAAACAGCAAACATAATCTTTACAACTTAAGAAGGATCACTTTTTTTTTAATGGGTTGCGGGTAGGCTGTGAAAAGAACTGCATAACACAAATCTGTGTGTGTCAGAATCTGGCTCCCGATCACACTGCCCATTTCTGTGTGTGGTGCCACCTCTTCCTGCCCTCAAACGTGGAACCCACTGTCCCTTCCTTTCTCTCACTCCTTACCCAGGCAGGTGTCAAGGCCTTTTGCCAACCCAAACAGTTTCCCCACCTCTAATCAGAAGGCAGACCTGCCCCTAACTAACTGCTGAGCCAGGCGCTCACTAGTAAGCCTCCCGCAGATGTACCCTGGTCACAGCCCTGTCTTGGCTATTTGGCATCAGAGCAGAGGGATTAACAACACAGAATTAGAGCCAGCCTGCCGGGGTCCAAATCCTGGTTTTACCATCGGCGGGCAGCAAGACACTGGGAAAGTTACTCTCTCAGGGCCTCTGTCTGTCTCCTCACCTGTAAAATGTGGGTAGCGTCCATACCTCTTTCCAATGAGCTAATTGTTGGGAGGATTAAATTAGCTCCTACACATAAAGCGCTTAGAGCAGGGCCTGGCCCATGGTTAAGGGCTACAGGAGTCTTTGCTGTTATTATGACCTGCCTGTCTCCCCACTGGCCTGAGAGCAACCTAAGAGGGAGGTTCAATAGGCCCCCATAGCACCCAACACAGCGCCTGGGGCCTGACTGGCTTGGAAGACACGGTCGCTGGATTAAACTGTCTATGTTCTGTGAGACTCCCACAGGTGTCTTGGAAGGAGGGGACAGTGGCCTCATTTTCCTGCACAGGACCCTCCTCTGCCTGCCCTGGAGGGCCTTCCGATGCTGGCACCTCCTGAGTGGCTGTTGAGAACATGGGTTTCACTAGGGCTGGGGGTGTGGGGGAGAGGCCTGATAGCTCACGGAGCCAGAGTGACACACCTGGCCTCCTTGATTAACACTATTGTCAGTCACGTCATCCAGATCTGTTCCTGGACATGGGGAAGAGCCATCCTGGAGGGAGATGAGGCTAGGCTCTGCCTCAGAGGGGGAGGTGGGAGCCTGCCCCCCCCACCAAATAAATAAATACTGACCTCCTCCAATGGCCCAATGGACTCTGAGCCCTGTTGCCCCTTTCACTGTCCCTGACAAAGCTGGCTTCCGCAACCCTGGGAGCCCCTCCCTAGAGATACAGGGTTATGGGGAGTCAGTTGGGCCCCCAGCAACTTCAGGGCAGTTGTGCCAGGGATCCCCGATTCCTTCTGCCCTGTGAGACTTTAACTGCCACACTCTCCCATGCCCCTGCCTTGCACTTCCTCTTACTTTGTCTCCATCTCTCTCTATTCCCCTGCCGCTGTCCTCAGGCCCCGCCCCCCGCCTCCACCTGGACTTTCCAGCCTTTCCTGGGCCCTCCTAGAGCTCACTGCTCCAAGCAGCCTGTCCTCGCATCCCCTCGCCCACTCTCGAAGCCCCAGGAGCCAGCTGGACGTGTAACAGAGGCTTGCTTGACTGGAGCTCTAAGACAGTCTGTTCCCAGGCTTATTTTGCACACTTATTTATCTGTCTAAAATACATGTGCACATCTGTGCTCCCTGTGGTCAGATTACAGGCTCACTAAAGATGGGAACGAGGCTCCCTTGGCGTAAATGCCACACAGCCAGAGACGCCACGCTGGGACACGGGAGGAGCTCAACGACCACCTGTGGAACAGATTGTGGCTTTTCTGTCCCAGCCAGGAGGCAGGAAAAAGAGCAATCTCATGTCTCAAACTGGCAGCCTGGGGGGTTCTTTGAAGGGAAACAGGGGTGCTGGGAGGCCTTTCATCTGCTCGTCATCCCCGCAACATGCCTGGTCAGGCTTCCAGCCGCCCCAAGGGGTCAGTTCTGTTTGGTTGTTTGTTTTTCAAGGTTTTCTCTTTTTCTTTTTTTTGAGACAGCATCCCAGGCTGGAGTGCAGTGGTGCGATCATAGCTCACTGCAGCCTTGAACTTGTGGGCTCAAGTGATCCTTTCACTTCAGCTGCCTGAGTAGCTGGGTCCACAGATGTATGCCACCATGCCCAGCTAATTTTTTTTTAATGTTTTAATTTTTTTAATTTAATTTTTAATTTTTTTGTAGAGATGGGGTTCTTGCTATATTACCCAGGCTGGTCTTGAACTCCTGGATTCAAGTCCACCTCAGCCTCCCAGCATTGGGATTGCAGGCGTGAGCCACCATGCCTGACTCGAGGTGTCTGTTTCGACTCCCCAGTGCTCCTGTCAGAGCAGCCAGAAGAGGCCCAGCTTTCTTGGCTGTTCAGAGAGCCCTGCCCATGAGCCCCCCACCAGCTCACCCACCTGAGCTGCAGCAATCACCAGGAGACGGGGGTGGGTTCTCCTGACTCCACAGAGACCAACGCAGTCTCACAGTTCCCATTTTGGGTGGCCCCACTCTCTCTCAGCACTTGCTACAATGTATAATTACACGTTTCCTTGTGTGATTGTTGCATGGATGTCTGCCTCCCCTACTGGCCTGTAAACTCCATGAGGTTAGATGGAGAGTGAAGATCACAGGTTTGTTCCCTGCTAATTTCCTAGCATCTAGCACAGTGGCTGGTACATGGCAGGGGTTCCCTAAATATCTGTGAATGAGATGCTGAGTTTGTTTTTCATTTGTTTGTGTTTTTGTGGCACAATCTCGGCTCACTGCAACCTCCACCTCCTGGGTTCAAGTAAGTCTCCTGCTTCAGCCTCCTGAGTAGCTGGGACTATAAGCACACACCACCATATTTGGCTAATTTTTGTATTTTTGGTAGAGATGGGGTTTCACTGCTGGTCTCGAACTCCTGACCTTGTGATCTGCCCACCTTGGCCTCCCAAAGTGCTGGGATTACAGGTGTGAGCCACCTCGCCCCGCCAAATTTGGCATTTTATGCACACCAGAGCCTCGTTATATAGGTTGTGTCCTGTGAGCATCAATGCAGTCCTGTATAGCGGGCAGACATTTTAATGCCCATTTTACAGATAAGGAAACTCAGGCTCAGATAGGTCAAAGACTGCCCAGGTGGACGATGCTTTTTGGTCACAGAGTCAGGATTAGCAACCAGGTATCTGGTATCTACACTCACCAATTACACTCAAATGATAATGATGACAGCTAACATGTAATAAGAGCAGGCAAATGTTGAAGCAAAAAATTTAGCTGGGCAATGTGGTGAAACCCCATCTCCACCAAAAATGCAAAAAATTAGCTGAGCGTGGTGGTGCATGGTTATGGTACCAGCCACTTGGGAGGCTGAGGCAGGAGGATTGCTGGAGCCCAGGAGGCAGAGGCTGCGGTGAACTGGAATCGTGCCACTGTACTCCAGCCTGGGTGACAGTCAGACCTCATCTCAATTAAAAAAAAAAAAATCTGCCAGACATGGTGGCTCACACCTGTAATCCCAGCACTTTGGGAGACAGAAGTGAGTGCATCCTTTGAGCCCAAGAGTTTGAGACCAGCTTGGACAATATGTTGAAACCAGTCTCTACAAAAAGGAAAAAAAAAGGCCGGGCACGGTGGCTCACGCCTGTAGTCCCAGCACTTTAGGAGGCTGAGGTGGGTAGATCACAAGGATAGGCTGGTGAACATGGTGAAACAGATCCTGGCTAACATGGTGAAACCCTGTCTCTATTAAAAACACAAAAAATTAGCCAGGCATGGTGGCATGCTCCTGTAGTCCCAGCTACTCAGGAGGCTGAGGCAGGAGAATCCCTTGAACCCAGGAGATGGGGGTTACAGTGAGCTGAGATCACGCCACTGCACTCCAGCCTGGGCCACAGAGTAAGGCTCTGTCTCAAAAAAAAAAAAAAAAAAATTAGCTGGGTGTGGTGGTAGGTGCTTGTAGTCCCAGCTACTCAGGAGGTGGGGGTGGGAGGACCACTTGAGCCTGGGAGGTCCGGGCTGCAGTGAGCTGTGATGGCGCCACTGCCACTGTGTTCCAGCCTGGGTGACTGAGTGAGACCCTGTCTAAAAAAAAAAAAATAGAAAGAAATCCCAGAAGCTCTTTGCACCCCATGCCTACCCCATTTGTTTACGGTAACTAGGCTGGCAAGGTGTGTCCCCAGGATCTTGACTCCCCAGAGTCCGTTGGCCAGGAGTCGGGACCAGCTGCCTCTGCCTGCGTCAACACCCCACTTCCCTGCTGCCATCTGCTCCTCCACTGCGAACAATGAAAAGACGAGCTGCTGAGCTCCAGGTCTGGGCGCCCGGGACACCCATCTGGGTTTCCCTGGAATCCTGGGCACTTCTCATCCTCTTGGGAGTTTCCCACCAGTGGGGATGCCAGACAGAGAGGAGAGAGGTGGGGCAGGTGGGGAGGGGAGGGTGTGAGGCTGTGAAGAGGCAGACATTGCAGGGTACAGCAGGGGAGGAGTGGGGAGGCTCATCTGTGCAGCGCACCCCGCTGTACAACTCCAGAAGGCCTCGTTCTTATTGATGGGACTGACCGAGTCAATATGAATGGGGCCTCCCTCACCTGTGCTTGGGGAGGGCCCAGGAGCACAAGGAAAGAGGAAAGGACGTTTTCTCATCTCACCGATCATAGTCGCCGTTGCAGAGGGCTCTCACGGGAATGGAGAAAGTTTGCCAGACTGGGTTTAGGGTGTTCTTCATGACCTCGGTCTTGTGGCAAATGGTGAACCTGGTGAAGAAGAAGAAAGGGAAAGGCTGTCAGGCCCAAACCCACGGGAGGTGGTGCAGGTCAACAGAGGAGTCAGCTGGTTCACATCTCTGGTTCCCAGTCAATGCAAACGATGCCTTCAAAAGGTGATGAGCTGTCCGTCGCTAGCAGCAGCCAAGCTGATACTGGTGATGCTGCAGAAAGGGCTCCTGTAGCAGGCGAGGACCTGGTGGTGGGGACAAGTCCCAGGGTGTCAGGAGCCCTGGGTTCTAGCCCCTGCTCTGGGGCCCTCTCGCTGTGCGACCCTGAGCAAGCTCTTCCCTCTCTCGGCCTCCAGCTCCCCACCTGTAAACCCAGGCAGTTACCCTCTATCAGAGATTCTCCATCTGCAATCCACAGAAGGATGAATGGATGAACTTCAGGGGTCTGTGAACCCCTGAAACAGTGGGAGAAATTAGGTGTATGGGTTGTTTGTGCCTGCTGCTCCCCTGGCCTGGAATATTCTCTCCCCCATCTCCATCTTTATGACTCACTCCTCACTACCTTCGAACGCCATCTCCATGAAACCTCCCCTGACTACCATATCTAAAATTGACAACTGCCTGGTCTCCTGCCTCGCACATCCCCTAGACTCCTCCCAGACTTTTTTTTTTCCTATTTCATTTGTCACCATTTGACATTTTGATATAGTCTATTTTTTTCCTTATTTATTCTGCTCATGATCTGTCACTAAATTCTAAGTTCCATAAGAGCAAGGATTTTTGTCGTTTTTAAATCACTGGCACATCCCTAGTGCCTAGAACAGTGCCTGGCACTTCATAGGTATTCAATAATTCTTTTTAAATGAATCAATGTATTTCTTGGGGGTGAGTTTCCATTGGTTTCACTGGAATGTCAATCCAATGAAATTAAAGCACCTGACTTAGATGATCTCTAAGACCCTTTCTGCTTTTCCAGTCTGAATCCATGAACCCGCTTTGCAAACTAAAAGTACGGAATTGACTTATCCCAGATGGGCCCTAATGTGGTGTCCCTGTCCACGCCCCACGCCATGCCTGGCTGGCCCCATCCTGGAAGTCAGCCCTGCCACATGGACGGGCAGCCACTAGCAGGGCTGAGCTGGGGGCCGAGGCGTCTCTCTGAGATTTCCCACCACCACCCCAGCTACATCCCTGCTTGGAAAGGTCACCAGAATAAGTGCCTGGGCTCCGCCCATACCCACACAGCCGGTGTCATTTCTTCTCTGGCAATTTTCAAGTCAAAATGTCATTCTGTCACCATGGCTTAGTGTTTCTCTTCTCTGCTCCTTCTCGCCCACCCACTGGAGTGTGGAGATGCATGTGGGAGACCTCCTCACACACCCCAGAGCTGGTGGCGCGGACCGAGGACCGGAATGGGGATGGGGGCAGGAGGGGCCACAGCTGCCCATGGCTGGGGCAGGCAGGTGGGGCAGGAAGAGGAGGCTGGGGCAGTGGGGGAAGGGGAGCTAGAGGGACCACAGGGAGCAGGAAATGGGTTGTCTCGGAGGGAGGGAGGATGCTACTGTGCAGAAACCCCGCTGGGCTCCAAAGACCACCCCCTCAACAGTCATACAGACCCCTGTGGACCCTCTGCAGACTCCCACCTCTGAAACCACTGACTTCTCCCTTTCCCTCCTCTTGAGTGAAAGCCAAGCATGACCAGGTGTTCTAAGCGATCAGGTGCAGCTCTACGGGCCCGGCAGGTGCCTCCTTTCCTTTTCCCTCCTTCGGTGGCTGGTGTGACAGTTCCCTCTCCTGGCTGCCCCACTGACCTTCCTCTTAACTGGAGGTATCTCCCCAAGCCTTCCAGTCTTCTCCCCCAAACCCTCAAGTGACCACCCTGTTCTTACTGGCCCAGCCATTGCCCTTTCACAGGGGCCAGATACTGGCCCACCTCTGTGGGGGGGCCTCCGGATCAGTTTCTCCAGTGCCCCATGGGATCCCCTATGAGGGATCAGTGTCTCCTTGCCCCCAGGATGCTCCAGCTCATGCTTCAAATGAAACTTGCCCCCAAATAAACTCCCACGACCTCCCTCGTCTCTGCGAGCACTCTGGGTTCTCTTGGCTCCACTGCCAGGGAGAGGGCTCTGACTTCGGTCCCCATCCAAGTCCTGCTCAGTGAGGTCCCCTCATTGTCCTTTTGCCCCCTTCCTCCCCTCCCCACTTCCTCCCCCTGCATCTCCACGGCACAGCTCCAGGGTGGGAGCTGGTAGCACCTCCCACCTGTTCACCGTGTCAGTCACGAGGCTCTCCCTCTCCCCACCCCCTCCCCACCCATCCTACACAACGCTTGCTCGCTAGCTCCCGCTCCCTCGGCGGCGGCGAGAGCAATCTTTTCCAAACACCTTTTACAGCGCACCCCTCTCCTGCTCCCAGATCCCTCTCCTCCCAGCCGGCCCCAGCCAGACAAGCCCAGCTTGACCCTGGCTCTGCCTCTCTGGAGGGGGCCTGCGTGGACACCCAGGGAACAATGCTCAGGTCTTCTCCTCCCCCACGTCAAGTCAAGTCAAAGCCAACACAAATTATTTAAAGAAATCCTTCTGGGAGTCCTTTGGTGAGACAAAGAATCCTTTTGTCATGCAAATGATCATACCTAATTTCCCTTGTTTTGTACGTGACTTAAAAATCACTTATCCCTTGAACTGAAACACACCTCCTCCTCGCCACTCCCCTGCCCCCCAACACACACACACACACACACACACACACAGTCGTTCGAAGGGAATTGGGGGAAGGTCCTTCTGCCTTCTGGGCACTCTTGTTTTGCCCAAATGTTTCTCCCTTCCCCAGCCCTTCGTTCTTCCCTGCTCCCCCACCCCACTGCAGGGACCCATCTTCTTCCTGTCCTTCAAAGCCCAAGTTCCCCTTCTCCAGCAGCGCTTCTCTAATTAACCTCCGTGGCCCCATCACTTTCCATTCTGCAGAATCCCAGCTTCTAAGTGGCCACAGCCTGCCAGAACTGCGGTGCTTAACGAGACTGTGGAGACCACGCAATCCAACTGGTTCATTTTATGGATGAGAAAACAGGCCCAGAGAGGGGGCTTCACTTGCCCTGGGTCACACAGGAGGCTGCTGGGGAGGACCTAGGGGCCCAGACCTTCCGCCCAGAACCTGTCTCCCTGCATACGTTGCTGACCTACATTTGCCAGCGTGTTGTGTATGCTTCCATCTTACTGCGGCTGGTTCTAGACTAGGGAGAAGAGAGGAGGAAACACAGGCTTCAGTCTGGAGTTTCAGATGAAGCCTATGGCAGAGTGTGGGGCCAGGCAGGGGATAGGGTCCAGATTGGGCCCTGTTGTGTGGGCAGTAGTGGGGGGCCAGGCCAGGGGATGCTGACAGGGCTGTGGGGCTAGGGGACTGGGCTTAGAGACAGGGCTGATTTGTGTAGAATGAAGGAGCTTCCAGAGGTATCCCTGAGGGATTTGCCCCCTATTCCTGCCCTAGCCCTGCTTTTGCTTACCTCCCCCACCCTCCACATGCCTAGCCCCCACCACTCAGTACCATCACTGAGACCCACAGAATGGCACCACTGGCTTAGAGGCTGCCGCCACCTCCCACTGACCACACCTAGGTGGCCAGGGCACTATAACCGGGGGCCCCAGACTTCCACCCAGAGCCCTTGCCCTCTCTAGTGCAGAAGGGGATGGACCCAAGCCCACCCTGCCCGGCAAGTCACCACAACCCATCCCTCCTTGACTCCAGAAGGGACCAGAAGGGGCAGTGCACAAGTGCCACCAGAAAACTCACGTTCCATCCTCGTTGCTTCTGTAGAATACCAAGAAGGGGTCAGATTTCCCAAAGAAGTCTTTCTTGTCCAGCTTGTTGGCACAGAACTGCATGGTGGCGACATCCTGGTGGAGGGGAGGGAGAACAGAGCATGAGCAGGAGAAGGTGGCAGCACAGCTCCGGACCCTGACAGGCACGTGGGGTCCAGGCGTAGCCCTGGCTGGAAAGCACTGACTGAGCCCCAGGCCCGTATTCCATCCTCAAACAGCCCCCGACCCCCAAATGGTCTAGCAGACCAGTTGGGTGGGAAACAGGCGGAGTCCACAGCTGCCCCAGTTTGAATCCTAGCTCTAACACTTTCTCTGTGTGAACTTGGGCAAGGTAGGTGACCTCTTGGAGCCTCAGTTTCCCCTCCAGAACATGGGGCTGATGACAGCACACATCTGCGGGGTTGTCATGAGGACTAAGTGAGATCAAGGGTGTGACGTGCTCGGCAGAGCGAGGCACATGGCAACACCCTGATGGATGTCAATACACGTGATTTCATTACACTTTCACTGAATGCCTCCAAAAGGTGACATAGCAAACCCAAGGCCACTCTGAGCTTGATCTGCGAGCCCCAAAGCCCTCTCTCTAGCCTCATTGTCTCACTCCCTCTCACCTATGTGCGGTTCCTGAAGTTCCAGATTCAGCATCACTTTCACACCCACCAACTCATGAGAGGCTCACCCAACGTTCTCAGGTGGATACAGTGGGGACTGTGGACCATTTCACAGCTAAGAAGCCAAAGGCTCAGAAGAGGGAGCGGCTTCCCCAAGTTCACCAAGCAGAGCCCACCTGCTGACTCCCCCGCCCTGCTCCCTGCCCCAGCTGACCCAATACACAGTGAGTACAGAAAAGGTGTCCAGGCCCTGGTGAGGATCTCTGGACCCCTCAGCCCCTCAGCTCGCTGGGGCCAACGGGGCACTGGGCAGAGATGGCCTCATCACCCTCGTCGCAACTTGAAAGCTCTGCATCCTGACAAATGAGCTTCAAAGCGGCTGAGCCCAGGGCTCTGTTGTCCAGACCCCAGGACTTGCCCTGCTCTTGGGGTCACTCTGCTCCCTCACACAGCCTCCTTCCTCTTAGTGTCTTGAGATGAGTCACCCACAGCCCACTGAAGACCAAACGGTGGCAGAGAAGACGACGTAACTCCATGAGGCTGAAGGACCCAGTGAAAAGGCTGAGTGGTGGCATACTGGTTAGGGATATGGCTGCTGGAGTCAGGCTGCCTGCTTCAGTCCCATCCTTCCTTAGCTGCGTGACCTAGGGCAAGTGATTCGCCCTCTGTGTGCTCAGTTTCCCTACCTGTGAAATGGGGTAGTGGCAGTGCCCACCTCATAGGCTCGTGAGGATAAAATGAGTTAACAGGCGTACAGCGCTGTGTGCATGTGAGCTGTTATCATATGTGAACACCTGCTTCCCCACCCAGCCACAGTGTGTGTGACCTCTGTCCCTGCCCCACACCCACCTCCAACACCCCACATGCCTTCCCTTGGGGACATCTGATGACAACAAACACAGCCTCCCTTCATTCATTCACCCACTCATTCATTCAACATTTATTACATGCCATCTGTGTAGGACAGTCACTGAGCTCAGCACCTTACACCCCTTATCATATTTAGTCCTCAGAATAATCCTTTGTTACTTTTGACAAACGGGGAAGCTGGAGGTCAGAGAAGTTAGGTGACCTGCCTGAGATCACCAGCTGGTAGCTGGTAGAACAGAAATTCACACATAAATAAACTAATTTCAAAGTCATGTGTCTTCCAGTATACCACTCTGCCCCGCTGAGAGAGAGCAAATTACATTTCTCCACTTCCCTGTTTTCTTTAGAATCAGCTGCATGGGCAGGGAGGGCTGCACTCTGGTTGCCCTGGGATAGGGAAGAGGCTCTAAGGACGGGCAGTGCTCGAGACGGAACAACCTGCACAAGGAGGTGCCCAGTGGCTTTTTTTTTTTTTTTTGAGACGGAGTTTTGCTCTTGTTGCCCAGGCTGGAGTGCAATGGCTTGATCTGGGCTCACTGCAGCCTGTGCCTCCCAGGTTTGAGAAATTCTCCCGCCCCAGCCTCCTGGGAATGAATACAGGTGCCCCCCCACCACGCCCAGCTAATTTTTGTATTTTTAGTAGAGATGGGGTTTCACCGTTTGGTCAGGCTGGTCTTGAACTACTGACCTCAGGTGATCCACCGACCTCAACCTCCCAAAGTGCTGGAACTACAGGCGTGAGCCACCGCACCCGGCCAGAAGGAGCACTTTAAATGCCCCCTAGGGACCCCCATCCACGGCCTAGGAAAGGGATGTGGCCCAGGACTTGATGGGCTACTACCTGGCTCTATACATTGGGGAGGCCCAGTGCAAAGGGAAAACGTGGCGACCTCTGTTCAAAAACAATCAGGAGATTCAAGATAGTGACGGCAGAGCATTAAACCAAGCACAGGTCCCCGTGTGACTACACAGGCCACATACCGGGGAAGCCGGCCCTGTCTCCTTCCCACAGAGGTGACTCACAGTGGCATCAGAAAACCACCAAGAGAGGCCCAGACTCTGCCCAGGAGAGCAGCAGGGATGGCCCCAGCAGGGAACTCAGAACTCACGGCTCCAGTCCTGGCTCTGCATAGCCTTAAGCAGGTCCCTTCAGCTCACAGAGCCTCAGCTTCCTCATCTGCGGAACGCTGAATGGGATGACCACCACAGTCCTTTTAAGCTGAGCAGTCAATGCCACATGGGGAACACTGAAATAGCCATCTCTTGTGGGGAGCGCTGGCACTCAGGGGACAGTGTGGAAAGCCAAGACGCCCCCAGCCTTCCCAGCCCCAGCCAGGGTTTGGCTGTCATCATCACAACCTTGCCCAAATCTGGAGGTCGCCCGAGTGACACTCTCATCTGAATTAACACAGGCAAGCCACCCAGGATCTGCTCAGCCTGCACCGATTGACTATAAAACGCACACACTTGAAACAACCAAAACAGAGGCCACAAAGTCCAGAGGCAACAGCTCTTAGCTTTGCTTCCCAGCAACCCCTTGGGCCCTGTGAGGTCAGGAATAGGGGAAAAATTTAGAAAAAAATAAAAGAACTTGACAGGTCGTAAGTTCCAGGGACAATTCAGTGCTCCCCTGGGAGGGCTGCTGCCTCAACCCAGCACCCGACAGCAATAAACGGCTCAAAGGGCTAGGCATGGTGGCTCACACCTGTAATTCCAGTACTTTGGGAGACCGAGGTGGGTGGATCACCTGAGTTCAAGGGTTCAAGACCAACCTGACCAATACGGCAAAACCCCGTCTCTTCTAAAAATACAAAAATCAGCCGGACATGGTGGCTTATGCCTATAATCCCAGCTACTCGGGAGGCTGGGGCAGGAGAAACGCTAGAACCTGGAAGGCAGAGGTTGCGGTGAGCCGAGATCGCGCCACTGCAATCCAGCCTAGGTGGCAAGAATGAGACTCTGTCTTTAAAAATAATAATAATAATAATAAAAACAAAAACAGAAAACAAAACACAGAGAGAGAGAAAAAAAAAAAAAGAGCACAAAGGAGCCAAGCACTACTTGCTTGGAATCCTAGCTCTGCCATCTCCCTGCTGAGCGGCCCCAGGTGGGTAACTTAACCTCACTGAGGCTGGGTAATGTAGAAGATAGCGCCCCCTTGTGAGCCTGTGCATATGCCCATAAACTTACCCTAAAAGCAAAAACATATATATGGTTCTACCTTGTAGCTGCTGTAGTAGGTAGATATAATGTCATATGTATTAATTCATTGAATCCTTTCAACAACCCTATTAGGGCAGCACTGTTATGATTCCTTTTTTGTTTTAGATACAGCGTTTCTCTCTCTCTCTCTCTCTCTCTCTCTCTCTCTCTCTCTCTCTCTGTCACCCAGGCTGGAGTGCAGCGGTGTGATCTCCGCTCACTGCAGCCTCAACCTCCTGGGCTCAAGCGATTTTCCCACCTCAGCCTACTGAAAAGCTGAGACTACAGGTGTGTGCCACCATGCCCCATGCCCAGCTAGGTTTTTAATTTTTAAATTTTGTTGCCCAGGCTGGTCTTGAACGCCTGAGCTCAAGCAATCTGCCCACCTCAGCCTCCCAAAGTGCTGGAAGTACAGACGTGAGCCACCACACCTGGCTATTATTCCCATTTTAAAGATGAGGAAACCAAAGCACAGAGAGGTTAACACCCTTGCCTGATGTCACACAGCTAGTAAGAGGAGCTGAGATGAGAACAAGACAGTCTGGCTCCAAAGATTGTTAACTGAGATTCCAAATGATGACCTCAAATCATCAAGATAAGTTTAATTACGTTCTAACCTCAGTTTGAGGAGTCAGAGAAGTGTGAAGTCCATTTAAGAAAGGCCTCTGTGCAAACTAGTTAAAATTTAAAAAAAAAAAGAAGACTGGCTCTGAAATTCAGCTAACTGGAAAAATCCGCCAGTGTGTGATACTTCCTCCCTGCAACCCTGATGGCAGATAAGTGAAGCATTGCTGGGGCTGGTGGCTGATTTTGTTCCTTAGCCTTATCTGCCCTCCCTAACACAATCTAGACCCAGGAACATTCGCCAAAAGCCCACTGTGATCATCTGCATTGCTGCACCATTGCAGAATCCGAGGGGGATAAAACAGACCTTCAGAGAAATTTCTAGGCTGAAGTGAAGGCAAGCTTCCTCCCTAATGGGTACCCATGCCACAGGGAAGTCCTTGAGACAAAGAGTGTGTAACTACCTGCCTGGGGCTGTGCTTCGGAAGGTCTCTGCCTTTTGTTTACAGTCAGAGGAACAGGTGGGAGCTTGTGAATAGTTCAACCCCTTGATGTATTTGTGAACCCAAGAAGAGACTGGGGAAAGAGGCAATAAGATGGACAAGGCCAGCAGGATAACAGAGCAGCAAATTCTGGCTGAGGGTCAGAGATTCAGCTGTTCGACAGCCTCAGCCTCAGAGCAGTGCTCTCTGAGCAATAAAATGCCGTTCCCTTGGCCAGGCATGGTGGCGCACACCTGTAATTTCAGCACTTACGGAGGCCAAGGTAGCAGGATTGCTTGAGCCCAGGAGTTCGAGACCAGCCTGGACAACATGGTGAAACCCCTTA